AGTTGCAGGTCACGCGCGATTTTGTGGAGGACTCGCGAGCTGAGAAAATATCGCCAATCTCTGGCGTGTTTCATTTTAATCGCTTGTCAAATTACTCGGTACCCCGAGATGCCACCTTCATCTTATTAAAAAATGTCACACCTTATCGAATTACTCAGGAACAGATCATTAGCCAGAATGGTGAAAAAAATAATTGCTTTTCGCAGTGGGACGTTTAATGATAATTGCTAAAAAACCTAGCGTTCTTAGCAACTGCGGCGTCATGTGGTGTGCAAAAAAAAAGTCGTCTGCGGGTCCTCATGGGTGGTGCAAAGTCAAAGAGATTGGCACTAGCTAAAAATTAGGCTCTATTTCCACCGGAAAGGTTTTTTGAAGAAACAAAAATCCTTTTTGTACCTTGCTCTTATTATTTTTTTCAGTTTTACTTTATTTATCTTGCGGCTTCCCAAGGCCCACTTCCACAGGGATCGACTATGCGATGTAGTCCCAGCGATTTTCATCTTGAAGCTTCCTCTTCTAAGTTGCAAAGCAACGCGACATTTAAATACGCTCTTTACGCCATTAAAGCCGCTGTGACAGTTTTCGGAGAATTCGCTGGGATATTTTTTTGATTAGATCGTGAGGATGACAAGGATCGGAAGTTCTTAATACATCGAATGACGGTCATTTCGCTCCATGGTTGGATCGCTCCAAGTAAGTTCGCTCCAACCAAAAGTGAGATCGCTCCACACAGGCCGAGTTCGCTACCTTGGCAAACCGAGTTTGGCTTGGCAGTGGATGAAAGAACGAGGAATAATCTATATGCACTTTGGAGCGAACTGACTTGGAGCGATCGGCTAACCTTGGAGCGAAGTGACCAGATACCAATTCATCAGTTCAGCGAACAGTTTGCCCTAACCAGCTAGGTTTAGACCTGTACTTGTTCCCCTAATTGCTCTGGCTAGCCATAGTACTATACTTGATCATGACTTGTCTAAATCTAGCAAATCATTACAAAGGTCATATCCTGCTTGAGTATTTTGCCAGTTTATGATGTTACTCATCGTGTAACACCAGGACTACAACTCACGGATATAAAAGAAAAAAAAAAAAATGCAAAAAAACCCAAAAAAAACCCGCTTATTTAACGTACCAAATTCTGTACCGTTGGCAGTCTTTTTTAAGCTTCGCCGCGGAGACCAGAAGCATTCCGCTGCATGAGCAAGAAAAAAAAAACCTGATACGCGTACCCACGGAACGGGTGGGGAAACGCACGTAATTAAACAATTCAATTTTCACCTTGCCGCTTATTGGACAAAATATAACTGCCTTGGTGGCCCTGGGGGTATAAATGGGAGCAATGGATCATATCGACAACTGTATCGATGGAACACTAAACAGGAGATTTTAGCATTTTGCAGAACCAAGCAAACGCCAAACCATGTCTACATACAGTGGAAGTCCGCCTTACAGCCAGGCCACCTCATTATTACGGCCACTTTATTCTGGCCCGGACAAAGGCTCAGTCAGTCTTTTTCTTATAAGAACCCCTTTAATGCGGCCACCCCGTTAACACGGCCATATTTTTGTGGCCCGTTGGTGACCGGATAAAGGGGGTTCTGTACTTGTCTTGCCCTTTCCGCCCGACCCAAGTCCTACGCTATCTCTATTTGTTCCAGGGTTAATACACAAGGCCTGACCGCCAAGCACCTTGTTTGGGAACTTCAGAAAGCTTGCAGTTGACGCTGAGTCTACCAAAATGGTATCATAATCCAAGTAGGTTCGGCTTTTTGAGAATCTTCCGATTGATAAGATGCCTAAAAAATCAGGAATAAAAGCTGACGATTATGAAGGCAGGCTCCTGCGACCTGGCAAGAGTCGAGAGAGTTCGACCACACAGGATGGCGTTCACCTGGAATCCTCTTCCGCCTCAAAAGAAAGTGAAATAGGTGAGAAATTGCGCTTCTTTTAGCAGTGATAGCTAATTTTGGCATTTCTACAACTGTCGTGTAAAGGTTAGGCGCGAAATGAGTAGCTTGCATAGCTTCTAATGAAGTCACATCGACACTTAACTTAGCGTTGATAACGTTTAATAGAAATTCTTGTACACACGTGTACTAAACAGTACTGAACATGCATGTTTTCAGCGTCTGTTTGATGGAATTTTATATTGTATGTTTAGACGAGCTCTTAACTTGCACATGCCACGCAGAAACAAATTTGAATAAATTCTGTATGAAAAAGAGTATTTTTTCAGAGTGCAATATCATCTAAAGTTTACTGAGACATGATCAAGTAACCGATCCAAGTGTAAAACTAGCAGTAATCAGAGATTATGAGATTGCGTTCGACGCTCTCACTTTAATATATAATTATATATCGTAAGTANACACCTTAGCGCCACAGGGCCATAGTGCCATAGCGCCATAGCGCCTTAGTTCCTTAGCGGCAGGCAACCCCCATAACCATCCCAATAGTGCACTCTGCACTGAAAATGAATGCAAAAACAGCATTCAAAACATAACACTTGCACGTGGAACGCCATAAATGATTACCCTATGGAGCCACCTTAAAAGGATCCTACTTTACAACTCTAGCCAGGAGCTTGTCAATGATCTCTACCAAAATCTGTAGGGATCTTCAAGCATCCTCAATGATTTTTCTCTAAGATCTTGCTAAGATATGGGAGGATCCTTGCAAAGATCTTTACATGATCTTTCATGAAAGAATCTTTGCAGATCTTTCGAAGTTATTGTATGAACCCCTGAAACAGGGTCCAAAATTGCGACCAGCTGGTCACCAAAAAATTGAGTGTTGGCGACCAGAATTTTGAGGCTAGTTGCCATTAGGTGACTAACTTTTAGCGTCTTGAACCAGCGTTCAAGGAATTGGTTTCGTTTTAAATCCAAAAACTTTGTGTTTGGTTTCAAACAAGAAACTTACCCCTTGTCTCTTCAAAGTTTTTATCTTCCATAGAAAATAATTTGGATCAAAAATGAAGGTTAGATTACTGTTAAATGACCTGGCCCAAAACAATTATAATCCATGCACTGTAATCGAAAGTTAGTGCTGCCATGTTTTCAGCAGTTTCAACTGCCAGCCATACGGTGGGCGTGTGGCAGAAACACATGCTTTTGGCCGCTTGCTTCGTGCATGGCTTCTGGAAGGCTTTGTACTGATGGCGTGTAAGAAGAAAATGATGTTGTGTTCAGTCTCCAAATTAAGAAAGCTTTCTATTTGATGAAAACTCTATTTCAACTACATTGTAAGCTACACGATATTTTTAATTAATACCTTTACACATGGAATCTGACTCTTACAATTGTTCAGGAGTAGGAATATTTTCATGTGAAGAAACTTCTTGAAAAACTTTGTGTTTTTGTGTTTCACTGTGAAGGAAAAATTTTATTGACACTTTTTGGCTACCATATTTTTCCATCTGGTGACTGAAAAAAAAATTCAGTCACCACATGGTGTTTACCTAAAAAAGGTAATTTCGGACCATGTGAAAGATCCTTATCTTTGAGAAACTTTAGAAGTTATTTCAAGATCTTATACATCTGTAAGATCCCCAAAGATTCTGTACAGGTTTACACATTCTAGAACTTGGATTGTAGAGCTGTGCTCTAGAAACTGCCAAGTGTCACCGGTGACTAACTTTTGCCTTTGGGCAATGGGAAAAACTTAGTAAATTACTTTCTCATACACTGTATAAGCTTAAGTGTGGGCACCCAGGATTTTATGGTTAGGAACCTTTAGTCTTGTATAGTTTTTCTTAGACCACAGCCTTGGATTGTCCAGATTACAAAATCCAGGTTTTGATTGGCTAAAAAGAATGGTTACTTTTATTTTCATCCTGAATAGAGAAACCACCCTTACCAGTAGCAAATGAAGACACTAAGGTGAGTCCAGCTTCTGAGGAGAAACTTGCTGAGGAAGCAGCAAACAGCAAGCAAAGCGAATCAGATGAAAGTGAGAAGGCCGTTTTGACGCAATCAATTGCCACAAGCGAAGGAACAAGGGAACTTACAGAACATCATGAGGACAATGTGTCAAGTGGTAATAAAAATATTAAGGAAAGTCATGTTGACAAACCTGATGAGACAGTAAAACATGAAGAAGCTCTAACACCTGAACCTCCAGGCCAAGCTGTTTCCAAGTTATCACCTCATGCAGTTGAGTTTGTTCCTAAAGTCACCTATAATCTGGTATCTGCAGTCAATGCCCCTGAATTTGTTCGAGCTCCAGTTCCAGAACAAAACAACCAACCTCCACTACTTCGTCAGAAGAGTAACACGCCTGAAAATGAACTGATGAACTGTGTTAGGGATGTTCTGTTTGGCTTAACACAGAGCCCTGGCGAGTTACATTATTATGTTGATACTTTGGTAGAGATGTTGAAAAAATGGTTGAGTACTTTGACGTCCTTGCAGGAAGTTGTGGATGCTATCTTTGAATATGTAAGTATCTTTATCTTTATTTTGTGTAAAGCATTATTTTTTGTCTTTTGTAATGAATTCCAGATGCCCTAGGCACCTTCTGATTTCTAAATCTAATTTGCCGCAAGGAGGGGCTTGACTGTTCAATTTGAACCTGCAAATTCATAAGCGACATGTGGTTTCTACATGTAGTTTCTTAAGGTGATTAAACTTTCCGGGCTGGGTTGTTCAAAAGCCATTGTATTAATGCTAATCCAGGATTAAAACAAGATCAAGGGGTTTATTTCTGTTTTATACAGAAAAAAAAAAAAACATTTTCACTGCTAATACTCTTCTGGAGTTCGTGCTTTGGATATATAAACTGGAGGGCACAAAAAAATATCCCAAAAAATTCACTGATAAGTTCTGAAAACAGCTGTAATCAAACTTCACTCTAATCCTGGATAAGCTTAATCTTGGTTTGCACAAATGAGCCCAGAGCTGGGCAAGTAACAAATGAATGCAAATCGCAAATGGTATTGAAAGGTTATACTTTGTAGTAATTAGATAGCCAATCAATTTTGTCTGTCAATTGCTGTGGCGTCAATATTATAAAATTAATTTGTTGTTGAAAACTTTTCTTTCAGTCAATAACAGAACCTAACTTCCAATATATGGCAGCCAGACTGTGCAACTTGTTATCCATGGAAAATAGTATTGTACTAAAGAATAATGAAAAGTTCAGGAGTGTATTGATGAATAGGTACTTGAAAAATGCATTCTTTGATCAAAATACAGATTGGCAATATGCTGAATATAGGTTATACATGTCATGGTAACTATTATCCCCATTTCCTGAACGTCTTGAAAATCCCTAAATGTGGGCTAAAATGGAGTAATATGGAAGAAAGGAATTATGGCAATTAAGTAAATTACATCATTTGTAACTAAGTTGAAGGCAATTTTCAAAAAATGTGACATGAATGTGTTGACAACTGGACAATTAAATGTAGCTTTAAATCTGGAATCATCATGCACATTTCTTGTCATCAGTGCATTTTTTTTTTT